AGGTTCATTTTCTTCAACTGTCTGGGATCTCATTCTGGGATCTGAATTGAAGGATCCAAACCATGCAACTGCAATTAAGTGTCTTCATGGATGTATGAAATGCCTTGTATACTTATATCCTCTTGGCCAAAGCATGTCACGTAACCAAGCCAAGAGTCTGTGAGTCAGGAACATATACTCTTCCCAAAAGATACTTGAGAAGGTCATCTGACAAGGAAAAACCATGCATACATCTCTTATGGGTGGTGAATCAATAGTTGGAATTAGTAATCCCATCTGTTGCAGTGACTTGAAGCAAGTTTCTTCTCTGAGAGTCTTCTTTTCTTTGTCCATAAAACATGGGAATGAAGATTCCTCCCCCCAAAGTTCATTAGCTTCTGCATTAGGGTTCTGCAGAGAAGTCAAGCCAACAAGATGTGTGTGTGTGTGTGTGTGTGTGTGTGTGTGTGTGTATACGCGCGCGCACGCGCGTACGCACGCGCATGCGTGTGTGTAGAGAGAGGTTTATTTAAAGAAATTGGCTTATTGATTTATGTGATTATGAAGGCTAAAAAAATAAAAAATCTGCAGGGTGGGCCAGGAGGCAGGAGATCAAATCTGAGCTGATGTTGCAGTTCAAGTCTGAGGGTCGTCTGCGGCAAAATTCACCCTTCCTTGTGGGAATAGCAGTTTTTTTGTTCTGTTTAGGTTTTCAACTGATTATGGAAGGCTCACATTATGGAGGGCAATCTGCTTTACTCAAATTCCATCCATTTAAATGCTTATAGCCAAAACACTCTCACCAGGATGATGTTTGACTACATATCTGGACACTGTGGCTCAGCCAAGTTGGCACATACAATTAACCATCACAACTTCCCCTCAGAAGACAATCCCAGCTTGCTAGAATGTACTCCAATCCTTGCTAGAGGTACTCCATTCTCCAGACTCTTGCATCTGAGTTCAGATCGCCTCTGTACCCCCATCACTGCTTCATGGAGCAAAAGAAGCAGCTTTCTCCACATAGGCTCCAGGTTCATCCTTTCATGAAAATTCTTACCCTAATTGTGAGGTTCAAAACAAAACTCTTTGCATTCCTCTCCCTCCCTATAGTGTGCTCATCAACTCCTGAGTCAGATTTTATTTCCATTACTTTATTAGAATCTTGGATGTCCTAGTTTCTTCTTTGTTTAATTCATTGCATTTTCTCCAGAAGCCTTTTCAACCTTTTTGAAAGCCAGGCTGCATATACTGTCCTCTTCTCCTGTAGCATGATAACCACATCATAATGCACCCTGCTTGGCTGGTTCTTGTCTCTGGGTCAGTGGTTCTACATCTTTTATGTAAGGGTGAGTTATCAGGAGAAGTATAGTGTCCCTTCTTGACACTTGTTTAATTGCCTATTTCTTGGCATGTTTCACCCTTACTATTACAAACCCTAGCTCTTTGGAATATTTCTTTGAGCTCCATTTTTATGCCAAAGCCACATAAAGACATGACAAGAAAAACAAAACAAAACAAAACAAAACAAAAAACCAGACCAAGATTTTTTATGAGTGTAGATGTAAAAATCTTTAACACAATATTAGCAAATTAAGTCTAGCCATACATAAATAAGAAAATGTGTCATGTATAAATTTACATTTATCCCAGAAGTGTAAGGTTTAGATGACACAAGAGGGGATTAAAAAAAAAAAAAAACACCACAAAACAAAGAAATTATCTTTTTGGAGGGCAGGTCCCTTGCAGTACAGGCTTCCTCTGCTAGATGAGTGTTCTAGGAACCCATCAGTTTTTATCTGGAAGTTTTGAGAAGGTTGCATCATGATTTGCAGAAGAAACGTGCTGAGTTGTGACAAACAGGTGACTGGGTCTTCAACCATTACAATGCACCTGCCCACACTCTACTGAGTGTTCAGCAGTTTTTGATCAAAAACAGTATAACCCCTGTGCTCTACCCTCCCTATTCACCCTATATCACCCTGAGCAACTTTTTATGTTTGTTTGTTCACTTGATGAAAAAAGCCCTCAAAGGGAAACGTTTTGCTGATGTGGAAGAGGTGAAACCAAAAACGGCAAAAGTACTCATGAAAATTGATGAAAACTGTTTTGAGCAGTGGAAAAATCACCTCGGTAGATGTATTGCATCAAATGGAGAGTACTTTGAAGGTGACTGAAGTTCAAGCATATAAGAATAAACACAAAATTTTTAATCAATAAATTCTTGTTTCTGTGGGTCTCCCTTGTATTCAAATATCATTATAAGCCATTATATTATTAAAGGAAAATAACCAACGTGATCATCTTAATCGATGCAAACAAAATTTGACAATATTCAAAATTCATTTATGATAAGAGACACTGGTGGAGTAGGAATAGAAAATAACTTCCGTGATTTGATAGGCATCTATGAAAAATCTGCAGTCAACATAATCTTAGTGGTAAAAGATGAATTCATTCTGCTTATGATTGGAACAAGACAAAAATGTCTGCTTTTACTCTTCAATTCAACATTGTGCTGGAAGTCTTAGCTAGTGCAACAGACAATAGAAAGGAGTAATATATATATACAAACTGGAATAGAAAAACTAAGACCACTCCAATTCACAGATAACTTGACCATATATGCAAAAATTCTGATGGAATCTACCAAAAAGCTACTCTAGACTAGCAAGAATAGCAGAATACAAAATCAGTTCCCCCAAACTAACTGTATTGATACATACCAGCAACAATCAGAAATTAAAATTTATAAGGCATTATCATTTACAATGGAATAAAAGATATGAAAGACCTGGGGATAAATTTGACATAAAATGTGAGACATCTGTACATTGAAAACTACAAAACATTGCTGAGTGAAATGAAAGGAACACCTACACAAATGGAGAGTTATGCCTTGTTTGTGGGTCAAGAGACTCAATACTGTTAAGAGAGGAAAAGATTTTTTAGACAAGCCAAAAATAGCACAAACCATTAAAAACTGATAAATTGGGTGTCTTCAAAATTAGATAATTTTGCTCTTTTAAGGGTAGTGTCAGGAAAGTAAGAAGTCAATTTATAGACTGGCCTAAAATGCTAATGATAAATATATCTGACAAAAGACTCTTTTTCAGGCTATGTAACGACTCATTAATTGGACAAGTAACACCATTACTGTTTAAGAAAATGATTTGAAGAGACACTTCAATAAAGAAAACATATAAAGAGCTAGTGAACACAAGAGAAATATTCAACTTTATTGGTCATCAGAAAAATGCAAATTAAATTCATAAAATAACCCTACATGTGCATCAAAATGACTAAAAAAAAAGAATTGGGGAACTCAGTGTGCTCTTGGAAAAATAAAATGGTAAAATAACTTAGGAAATGATTTAGCAGTTTCTTGAAAAGTTAAGCATATTTTCACTCAATATTTCCACTCATAAATATTTATCCAAAAATGTATACATGAATGTTTGTAACAGCTTTACTCATAATCCATGGATGAATCTCAAAAATATTGTGCTGAAGGAAAGAACTGAGAAACAAAAGAGTAAATATTACATATTTTCATTTCAAGGGAATGCTGGAAAAGACAAGTCTAATCTACAGTGACAGAAAGTAGATTAAATCTTACTTAGTTCTGGGAGGTTTGGGGTGATTGGGAAGGTACATAAGGAAACTTGTTAAGAGGACAGAAATGTTCTATACCATAACTGTAATTGCATTTATATCCATGTATGGCAAAAATTGTTGAATCATACAGTTATAATGGGCTTATTTCAATGCATATTAACTATGTCTCAATAAGCTGATTTTTAAGCAGGAGAAATATAAACAAAACATTCAGAGTGGTGATTACCTCTGGAGAGTACACAGAGGCTAGGTTAGGAGAGGCACACCCAAGTGATGCAATGGTATTCGTTATGTTCAAGTTCTTAAGCAGAATGCTGAATACGTTCGTGGTTTTACATTTCATCACAGTATTAATAACTTACATTCATGTTACATTTTTTAGTTCGTATATATGAACTATTGCATTAAAAAAATAAAAATGTGAGAGAGCTTAACAAATAATGTTACAGTCTATAAACTGTGGAAAAGGAAAGATATTTTTAAATCTTAAACTGTGAAGGCACTGAAGAAGGACACAAAGCACAGGAAGAGATGTGTTATGGAGTCAAACTAAGAGTCCAATAACAGATACATCAATAAAAAGATATGTGCTTTATATACACAATAGAACACTATTCGGCCATAAAAAATAAAATCGCATCATTTGCTACAACATGAATGAACCTGGAGGACATCACATTAAATGAGAAAAGCCAGACACAGAAAGACAAGTACCACATGATCTCACACATATGTGGAATCTAAGCATTTGTTGAGATTATAGAAACATAGACCAAAACAGTGGTTACCAGAGACTGGGGAGGGATGGGGAAAGTCAAGATAGAGAGAGGTTGATTTATGAATACAAAGTTACAACGAGAAATCAGTAATGAGTTCTAATGAGTTCTGGTGCTTCATTGCACTGCACGGTGACAATGGTTAACAGTAAGGGGTATTGTATATTACAAAATATTTAGAAAAGTGACTTCTGAATATTCTCACCAAAAAGAAATTATACATGCATGAGGTGATGGATATAGTAACTACTCTGATTTGTAGTTACACATTATACATGATTTAGCATATGTATGCATTGTATTGCAACGTCAAATTGTATCCCATAAACTTGTACAATTACAATGTGTTAATTAAAAAAATTAAGAAACCCAACAGATTAAAAGAAAAAGAGAGATATGAAACAACATGGCATATGAGAAACAGCATCATGACCTGCGTTTAGAGGGCTTTACATTCTCACTGAGGAGAATTTTTTGCATTGATCCTGAAACTTTGCATTGAGCAAGCTTATCTGCACACAGGCTTTCCTAAGCCAATTAACAAAGCTGTGGGCATAGCTGTCTTGTATTCAGCACTTTTCTTGGTGCCTTTGGCCTGATTCCAACATTGCTCCCTTTTCCCTCTAGTTTTGCGGATAACTGATCATGAGTGTCTCTTCTCGGTCTTCCACTTTGGACTGGATATCTGGTTTTAGATGCCTGTACTGGATAGCACCTTTCCATGTTCTTTCATAGCTTAGCTTCCACTTTCACACGTTTTCTTGTTACTCTTTTTTTGATATTAAAAAGTCTTTATTTTGTTTTAATAAAAATTAAATTGCAATCTCATCCAAATGTTGGGTTTTCTTGTATTTTATTTATTTTTTTAATTTTAAAGATGTAGAGTACAATTCAGGGTTAGGTATACAAATGTTCATTATTCAGGTACCCTTTTTCATGGGGTATGCCCCCTCTCCCCTGGCAGTTTTCCACTACTGCCAATCTTACCCTTCCTCCCCTCCCACTCCTCTGGCAGTTTTCCACTACTGCCAATCCCTTTTTTTAAATAGTATTTTGATAATTGTTCAAGGTCCACTTAAGAGTGAGAATATGTGGTACTCAGTTCTTTGTTTCTGTGATAGATCACTCAGTATTATAGACTCTAAGTCCATCCAAGATGCTGCAAAGTTCATAATTTTGTCTTTCTTTATGGCTGTGTAATACTCCATCATGTATACGTACCATTTTAAAAAATCCAATCCTTTTTCCATGGGCAGCACTGTTGGTTCCATGTTTTTGCTATTGTGAATAATGCTGCAATAAACATGCATGTGCGGGTATCTTTTTCATAGAGTGATATAAGTTTCTCCAGGTATATCCCCGGTAAGGGGATTGTGGGGCTGGATGGGAGGTCAATTTTTAGGTCTATTAGTAATCGCCAAACTGTTTTCCACAGAGGTTGTACTAGTTTACATGCCCACCAGCAGTGTAGAAGTGTTCCCTTTTCCCCACATCCTCTCCAGCATCTATTGTTTTTTGAGTTATTGATAATGGTCATCCTGACTGGAGTTAGGTGGTATCTGTTTGGTTATTCTTGATCCTAGAAATGCAAAAGTTTAAGAAATGTTGAACATTAAGATGGCTTATTCTCCTCTAATTCATAATCTGAATTACATACAGGCTTTGGGTGTGGAGAACTGGCAGCCCTTATGTAGCCCTAAAGGAAGCAATAGGAGAGATTATAGGCATCCTGAATTTGGGTGAAGAGAGAGGCAATATTACAAATGCCAGGGTTAGTGCTAATGGTATATTCTCATCAAGTGCCCAGAAGCTAATTTGCATATGCTTATTTTTGGTTTCTTTTCAAACATTCATTAGATTTTAATTTTCCATTGTTTTGTTTCTCAACTATTTCACGTCCATTTATTTGTACACTCAAACTTTAAATATAGAAGTGTGTATCTGTATGACTAGCTTGACCCTGTACAAATCATCATATACAACAATTGTTAGACACTGCACATAACCTAAGTGACAGCCCCATCAGTCCCTGGAGTAATGACATATTTGCATAGTGTGACTGTATTGCAAATTAGACACAGTAAAGGAGACATCCTTATCAAAGATGAAAAGTATACTTGCATAACGAACATTTGTATACCTAACCCTGAACTGTACTACATACCTTTAAAATAAAATTCAAAGATGAGAAGTATGCCATTTGAATTTCAGCAGGACCATAGCCTAATGAGATGCATCAAAGTCAGAAACTGCCTTTGGAAAACTTCTTTTGAGATACCTCAGTACGAAGAAGCTTCTCATATATTGGTATGTATTAATTCCAAGTATGCAATTGAACCAAAATATAAAAAGGAGCACCTGTGATTTTCTCAGCCTCCATAGAAGAGGAAATGGAGATTGGCCATTGGAGAACTCTTCCTTCTTCTATTTTTTTCTACTTTCTCCTCCTCCTCCTCTCCCCCTTCCTCCTTCTTCTTTAAATGAGTGCTTGGTGGCTTTGCTTTTAAGTGATTAGCATCACCCAACACCCTTCTATTTCTGTCAACTTGTGCTGAAGGGCAACTTCCGATCCCAACTTCCTCAAACCTGTGACAAACTGCTGCCACTTGACTTTGAAGCGAATTCTTTGTTTGATGAGAGGCATCTTCAGGTACCATCTCCAACCTGGTCCTCATGCTGCTGAGGCTCTTGCTGTTGATCTGTGGTGAGTCAGACAATTCAGAGCAGGGTACGGGATGCCATCCCACTGGGGTCCCACTTGCTGAAGGGCTATAGGGGCTTCTCAGGACTACGTTTCTGCCTGGTGGTGCTCAGGGGTGCTCAGATCTCTACTTCTAACTGAGGGCTCAGGCTCAATCAGAAAGTGGTAGATATTGGAAGGACAGATTTTGGGAGAAAACTATCATTTCAGTTTTTATATCACAGGAAATGTTCTCTGTCTGTCTTCCTATCCACCATTAATTCTATCTTTCTTCTTGGTGTTTTCAATAGCTACAAAGAAAATCTATACAAGTTGGCCACTGAGTTCCCTGCCCTCCTTACTGTCAACATTACTTCCTTTTATCCCTCTTTGACTCCCCTTTATACTGTCAGATCTTAGTAACTTATCGCCCTGTTTGTTTTTGGCATACTCTTACCACATTGTCTTTCGAGCTCACTTTCTCTAGTATTTAATCTCTTACAGGTCTTCAACTCCCAAGGATTATTTTTCTATTGTCAGTTACTTTTCATGCTCACCGCACACTGCTCAGCATAGACCCTTTAGTCCACCACCACCACATGCCCCCTGTACACTTTCATCTCTCTTTCCCTGTAGCACTCTCCTGCTTAGCACACTCTTCTGTATGGTTCACTCCCATGCCTAAACAGCTGAATGTGCCTCTAAGAAAGGGAAAATTTCTACTGACTTATCTCCTTTTATGTAGGCCCCAAATCTCAGGTGGCCAACAGCAATGCCAAGCAATCCACCTACATGTTCATGGTCCATGTTGTCCCACTCTTGATGACCATTATTTTATACCTTATTCTTTCATCTCAGACTTCTCCCTTTTCACTCCCAATGTATAATCTTGCTTCATATTTCATTGAGAAAATGACATCAACCAAAAGAAGATTTCATCTTTCTATAGCTGTATTTGTCAGCCCACTCACCTCTGCATTGACATACTCTGCCTTCCTTTTCCCTGTCATCTGTTAGCCCATTGAAGACAAGACTCTGCTTATCCAAGTCCCTCTAACTTTCTCAAAAAAGTTGCTCCATCACTGAAATATTTCTTCATTCCAGATTATTTCCATAAATATAAAAACATGCTACAATATCTTTTAAAAAATATTTATTGATAAATAATTCACATTTCATACAATTACCAATTTAAACTGCACACTTCAGTGGTTTTTAGTATAATCACAGAGTTGTGCAAACATCACCACAATCAATTCTAGAATGTTTTCAAATCGCATAACGGTAGCAGGCAATCCCAATTTCTTTCCCAACCTCCAATCTAGCTTCACCTTCCCATCTCCCAATCCCATGTAACCATTTTTCTGTTTTCTGTCTCTACGTATTTGCCTATTCTGGACTATTTCCCCCTTACTATCTAACTGTAATTATGTATATTTTGAACAATATTTTTCCCATTCTCACCTCCTACCTTAGCCTGGTAATCACCATTCTACTCCATCCTTCTATGATATCAGCTTTTTTATCCACGTATGAGTGAGATAATGTGGTACTTGTTTATTCTGTACCTAGTTTATTTCACTTACCATAATGTCCTTCAGTTTCATCCATGTTTTTACAAATGACAGGATTTCATTATTTTTTATGACTGAATAGTATTATGCTGTGTATATAAACCATATTTTCTTTATCCATTCATCCATTATGATGTATCTTTAACATGCTGATGAAATTACCTTTGGATATATACCCGGCAGTAGGATTGCTGAATCATATAGTCGGTCCATTTTTTAAATATTTTGAAAAGTCTACATACTGTTTTCCACATGGTTGTTCCAGTTTGCATTCTCACTGACAGTGTGAAACAGTTTGCCAATACTTGTTATCTTTTTGATGACAGTCATTATAATAGGTATGAGGCAATATCTCACTGTGGTTTTGATTTACACTTCTCTTATGATTAGTGATGTTGAGCATTTTTTTTCATATACCTGCTGGCCATATGTATGTCTTCTTTTGATAGATTTCTATTCAGGTATTTGGGCCATTATTATCATTTTCTCAGAACAAAACTTTTAATAGGGGCTTATGAACAGAAGTGATGTCTCAGGCAGCCACAAGATGGTAGATCCCTGAACCTGCCCTCCAGAAAATGTTCTTTGTGTAGCAAACTTTTAGGATAGAACATGTGCAGCTGCTCATGCCTCAGACTTTCATTGTGAGGTCTGGGGAAGTCAGATAACTTCCCTATGGGGTTTAAATATGCTATAGACACTGTACCTTTTTTTTATTTTAAAGATGTGGGATACAATTCAGAATTAGGTATAGAAGTGGTCATCGTACTGATAAAGTTTGGGCCTCCCTTTGGTCCCCACATTGCCTGGTTTGAAATCTGGTACGCTTATTGATCTTATGTGCCCCTCCTCCACTGACAGTATCCAGCTACTGCCAATCCCTTTCTTATAGCATTATGGTAAATGCTCAGGGTCCACCTATGAGTGAGAACATTCAGTTCTTTGCTTTTGTGATAGATCATTGAGTATTATAGACTCTAAATCCATCCAAGTTGCTGAAAAGTCCATGATTTTATCCTTCTTTTTGGCTGCGTAATATTCTGTCATGTATATGTTCCACATTTTAAAAAATCCAGTCCAATTTTGATGGACAGCACAGTTGGTTCTATGTTTTTGCTATTGTGAATAGTGCTGCAAAAAAACATGTGTGTACAGGAATCTTTTTTGTAGAGTGATTTAAGTTCCTCAAGGTATATTCCCAGAAGGGGGATTGCTGGGTCATATGGAAGGTCAATTTTTAACTATTGTAAGAATCACCACACTGTTTTAAGTAGAGGTTGAACTAGCGCGCATTCCCACCAACAGTGTAGAAGTCTTCCCTTTTCTCCACATCCTAGCCAGCTTGTGTTGACTTTTGTTTTGTTAATGATAGTCATTCCTACTGGAGTTAGGTGGTATCTCAATGTGGTTTTGATGTGCATTTCTCTGATGATTAGTGAGG